TCTTTCCAGAAATCATGAACCGGTCTCTTAAAATAGTCCTTGTTGTAAGTAGGACATATTCATTTCTACCAAACTACACCAAATACAAAACTGTGCACCAACCGTTGAACCATTTTAAGGGGTTTAGTGTCCCTTTTTAAGAAGGAAAGGAAACATTTAAAGTTTCTCCTCTAACCCAGTTTGTCCGCCCATCAGGGGTGTGTGTCCTCTAACTGCAGACAAACAGTGTTTCTGTGCTGACTTGGCTTGCATACTATAGCAGCTCCTGTTGCCAGTAGTCACCGGCGATTGAATAACCATCACTCACCCAAATATCACAAGGATCAGTACTGCGATGACCTTGAGGCGACTCCTGTCAGGAGCTCCTGCGCCGCTATCAGCTCTATTGTCAAATCACGTCAAACAGAGAGCCTTGAAGCTGAGCGCTGTTGTGTCGCTTCGCCTTGCAGAGGGCAGAGATGGATAGTGTTTTATTTATTTATTTTTGGATAAATGTGTGTCGTGAATGTAAGATAAGCAGAGCTTGTTGTGAGATGAATATCAGCTCGGCTCTCTTCTCCTTTGGGTTTTCTCTGCCTGACTGCAAGCAAACCCCTTTGTCCCCGTTGCCCCCTTGCCTTGTGACTTGGCTCACGCTGCTTTAGTAAATCTGGGGCATGTTTACAGTCTGGCTTTTGGGAGTGTCTTGGCAGGCGAACTGTATACCTACCAGGCAGCCAATCAATCGCCCCGCCCTTGGAGTACTATTAAACTTTAGAAAAATGGGATGATGCTGCTCAGTTTCCTCTGAAATATGAAGCCTGCCAAAGTGCGTGCATATATTTTATTTCTCAGCGACACTCTTGTCTGCAGGCTGGCACCCTGTGATGATATCTTAGTTACCTCAATGGGGAGCAGGCACACACTGAACACTGTGATGTGAATGAAGCGATTCAGAGGAAGTCTTAATTGATATCTCTGTTCTATTTTGGAGGTCTGGTCACTGAAAGAGTTAGCTATTTGATTCTTTAAGTCAAAGATATGATGCTATTTGGAGGAAGTTTTATTAATGTGTCTGGAACATGAATTATTTGAATGATTCATGAGTGTTTTCCCTGAAGAGCACTCATTTAATAAAACTTAAATTCACTTATTGTTTATTCTGTGGAAATCTAGATGAGAAAAATTGTATACAACTCATGAGCTACAGCCAGCAGCCAGTTAGCTTAGCTTAGCTTAGCATTAAGACGGGAAACACGTGGGAGAGGGGGGAGAACTAGAATTTCTTTATCCAAATTTAACACAATTTGGGTACGTAAACATCTGATCCCAAATTAAGATAACTAATTTAGCTTTTTAGCGGGGTATATGCAAATCTATTTATTTCTTGTGTGTCTGCCTTAACCTATATGAGTTGCATTAACATTAGCAACCTTCGGTAGTGAAGAACAAGTATGGGTTTGTCCTCGTATCTCCATTTTAATTCAACAAGTGTGTATCTGTTTCTTGTGTGTGCACAGATTTAGTCTGATTCTCTCACAAACATGTTCTTTGATCACAGAACAGTTGCTCACTGAAATCCTCCGTGGGATGATTTGTTCCTGCCATCTTTACCTCAACTAGAAAAAGAAAAATTGAATGACTACAGGACTGTACTGCTACAATTCAATTTCAGGGAGAGAAAATATATTCCCTTCCTAAATGTTGTGAGTGTTGCATGCAAGGGTTTATCATCCATCTGGAAATTGTCCTCCAACAATGCATCTTTTCATCCGTGCCAATGCGCTCTAGTTTGGACCATTTGCCAATTGACTTTGCAGCTTGTACACTTTTAAAACAAAGAATTGAGGCATAAATATACAGTTTGACTTTAAAGAACCTGCTGGACTAACTAATTCAACATGTTAACACTGGCAATAAAGCAGCCATTTTGATGGACGGTGTGATGTGATGAGCATTAGCAGAGGTTAAGGGCCCTGCTTTGGTGACAGCCAACTGATTACACATGTGGGTGATGAATGGCCTTGGTGCCTGGCTGTGAAATGGCCTGCAGATGCCCGGCATTCTGCTGCAAGCATGTTAAAACACACGGATCTGCTGCATTGGAAGTGCTGAAAATCTCCCCAAAAAACCCACAGTGGAGGAAAAAGAGTGAAAGAGTTGCGTTTCTGTTTAAAATCATCAGAGCTTTACACAACCCAAGTTTGTTACTGGCTTGACCTTCTGCTCTTATTGAGAAATCCATCCCAGAGTTCTTTGAAAAATCAAATGTTCCTCCCTTGTCTGCATGTTTTTCTCATAGGTCAACATCACACACACACACACACACACACACACACACACACACACACACACACACACACACACACACACACACACACACACACACACACACACATTCACCCTGCCTGCTAAGTAGCCCCAGAGTGCTCTCTGAGTTAAAGTTTCATAAGTTTGCTCTCCTCTGCTCGTTATTCCATTGTCTGTCTAAGAGGATGTCACTGTGATTTATGTCAGAGAGTTTTAATATGCGGAGGGAAGGCTGTTTTTGGTCGCGATGAATGGTTTAAACTCAGGGGAGCCGTGACAGTCGAGCTATGATATGTCCCCCTGTTGAGAGGAGGGATGGCTCTCCTTTGTCTGCCATCGGCGGGGTCCGCTGGGACTCAGAAAAGCTCCCTTTATGAGCATTTAGGACATTTGCAACAGACTTTAATTTACCTTGAAATAAAAAACCAGCTTCCCCAAGTAAGAACGTGTGCATGTTTTCCTGTCCTGCATGACAATAGAAAGTCTTTTTAAATTGTGAATCCCCTCCCTGGATTTGAATGTCCTCTCTTCATTGACTCCAGATGTCACAACGTTTTAAACAGAATGAGGGCTGTTGATCTGGAAAGGGCCTTAGATTTGATTTTGGACAGGAAGGGGGCTGTGCAGCTGGCTTTCACTCCCATAAGGGGAAAACAATCATGTGCCAAAGTGCCTGCAGCGTTATAAGAACCATTTGTTTGTGAGCATATTGTAAAGTTTAAGTCGTGGGTTGTAAATGTTTATTGCAGTGTACTGGCTCCATTTGCATTATGCACCACCTGGAGTGCTGGAGATAAACGTACTGCTGGTGACTTTTTCTTCCACTCAAAAAGTATCTCAATTTGAATGCAGTGTGCTCGTTTGACACGAGGAAAAGGTTGTAAATGGTTTAACAGCGGCAAATATTAGTGTTGACGACTCCAGATACGAGCCAGTAATCTTATTTGGACAAGCAAATGGAGTCTGTGACCCCCAGCGATTTGGCTTGGAGAGCACATCCAGTCTGTTTAATATGTTAGGAATGAGAGGCAATAGATAAACATTTACAAAGCTGGTCAAGAAAACTGAACAGGATAAGAAGTTTGTAAGCAACGGACTCACAAATATCTGATTGCACATGTCCGATGTCTTTGATGACCTCTGAAAGATGTTGTCTTCTTGTTAGATATCAAGTGATAACATCCTGATCCACATGGTCACAAACAGGATCTCAATGCTTCAAGGACTTGTACAAAAATACAATCTGGACTTCCTGTTGCCTTTATTTTGGGTCATTTGAGCAAATGCAGTTGTTGTTTCTGTAAGGATGTCAATGCTTCAAGGTTACTGTATAAGAAAATTCAATCTTGAGTTCCGACTTGCCTTTTTATTTTGGGTCATTTGAGCACATTAAGTTGAACGGAAAAGTGGCCAATTGTCAGCGCTATTGCCTGTTACGAAAATCACTCCAAACTCCACTTTTACAGTCAAGAGTCGTAAACAAAACACATGCTGCTGAAGCCACTGTTGAGGATCCTGACATGTCAGTGATTCCAAGGTAAATGCTCTATAAAAAGTGTACATTTAATCTCTACTTAAAGCTGTGGGAAAAAGGTAACTGATTTGACTTGTGGCCCGCTGCTAAATGGATCCATTTGAAAAGGGTTGGCGAGCGGCAGAATGAAGGAGATTTAGATTGGTGTTAAGTGGAAGAGGCTTTTTACTGTGCTGCCAGGTCTGAGCGCTGTAAAGAGAGGAAGTGTAAACGTGGCTCACTGGTGTGACAGGTTCTCATGGGGCTACTGTAGCTGCCGCTGTGCGATAAACGGAGAGGACAGGAGTGAGGGGTGCAGAAATGACAACATGCTTAGTGGGTTTCCCCCTTTGTATTCAAATTGATTTGACTTAAGCTCACCACTCTGTGTTGTGCTGCAGTTGGACTTAATGCGATGTCTTTTCCACTTGTTTTTGCAAGATTTGTGGCTCTCTGTGAGGCTTTGAAGAAGATTTTCTAGGAGAAGTAAAACATGCGGGACTATTTTTGGGGGATTTTTTGTGTTATAATGCAGTTTGAAAGTACTTTTTTTTTCCTAGATTCAACACAGACCACAACTTCAGTGCATATCTTGTCATTTTTTACATTTATATATTCATTTGAATATTTTTTTTTCAATGTGTGGCCTTTTTACAAAGACACTAATGGGTTTTCACTGATTAAATGGTTAATCCATCATCAGATACATAGACTAACATATTAATATGCAATGCTCTCATTTAGTTTAAAAAAATCACTGCATTGGACAAAATGGTGTACTTTTATGTAGATATTTTAATTATGTACACTTTATTTAAATAAGGTGCTCTTTTTCTAGCTTTAAAATGAATATAGGCCAGACTAAGCAGATGACATTTTTTATTTTATTTTGTCTGGTTTTACAATGTCCGTGTGTCAGGTATTTTGTTTTTATAACAGCAAGAAAACAAAATGTTTTTCCCAACATGCATTTCAAATCATTGGCACTGTGACATGGAAATAATTGTTTATCTCCGTGCAGAAGACAAAAACAACTTAACATTGTGAGCAGATTTGTGAGTGTTGTAATTGGGGACCTATTTTAGTGTGTTCTTGTTCTTAAGCATCCGAATGTGTTCTGTACCAGTGTGTTCCTCTCCGTTCTGTCCTGATTTGTGATGATAATCTCCGCTGTGTGTTTCTTCCTGCTGTTTACCAGATGCAAAGGAGAGGTCGGCCAAGAGATTCTCCGTGGACGGCGTTTTCAATTACACCTCCCTGCTGCTCAGCCAGGAGGACGACATGCTTTACGTCGGAGCGAGGGAGGCGCTGTTCGCCCTCAGCCTGTCGGACATCAGCAAGGCCAAGCTGCAGAAGAACGTGAGTTTATAGAAATGCAGAGTGGAGTAGGGGAGGAAAAAATGCAATGCAAAGATAAAGTTGGCTTGGAGATAATTTACTCTCATGGTTAAAATGGCATTTCATGTGCTGTTGCACATCTGGTTTGCGATCCCTTTACCCACGTCATCCCCTCTATCTCCCACTTTCTAAATCTATTTATTTTGTAAAGGCTGAACTAGCCAAATAATCTTAAAAAAAGAGCATTTCAGGATCGATTTAGTTTAATCTATTATTAATCTTGTTTATAAATTCAAAATATGTAAGGGATAATGTGTAACGTTTGACTTAATCCTGCTTATTATTACACAACCACATACTAAATAAACCAACGCCTTAAAGGTAGGGTAGGTAAGAATGGAGAAACCAGCTCGAGTGCGCTAGAATTTGAAAGTACACAACCGAAAAGAATCTGCCCCTTCCTTCAGACTTCCTTACAGAGCCCCTCCTCCAACACACACGAACGCGCACATGACCAATGAGGGCACGAGATAAGTTTGTGCACGAGATGGAAGGCTGACAGGCAGGTAGGCGAGGCAGATAATTGGTCTTGCTTTTCACAGCGCCACGGCTTCCACAGATGAAATATTTGTATATATTTATTGTCAAAGCATTTAATATATTCATTGCTATCGGGATGTTAAGAGCATTCCATGGAATATAACAAAAAGTGTATCTGAAGTGAATTACCTACCCCACCTTTAACTCCCAATAGTAATTGAAAAGTATGTTATTGACTCAAAAGATATCTTACTGCTTCCGCTAAGAAAAAATTGTCCGTTTTCTGATGGATGAAAACTAATGTTTGTTGTCCAAAGCTGACGTTTAATCGACCAAACTTCTTACTGCCGATTGATAGGCTCATAATTACATTACATGTTACTTGTTAGACGCTTTTATCCAAAGCGACTTACATACTCAATACTGAGCAATTTGGGGTGAAGTGTCTTGCCCAGGGACACAACGACATGCTGACTGCAGTGGGGTTTGAACCTGTACGCCACAGCCTCCTTGATCCTTCTTAGCGTCATGTTATGGCTAGCATGTTAGCTAGCCATATGTTAGCGAGTATAAACAACCTCTGAAATGTCCAAATAGATCGAGTATTCAACTTAGCCATGTAATAAGTTGAGTTAAATAGCAGCTTTCTTCACTTCACATTTGTGTTTATTTCTATACCACACAGTTCTGTGTATACATTTGATATTAGAGAAACAATCCTCCTCAGTAGAAACAGCAGGGCTCCTTGTATTTGGCATTACTTATTCAGTGTTTCTTCTTTTTCATCTTCAGCTGACGTGGGGCACTCCTGCTGGAAAAAGAGAGGAGTGCAGCTTCAAAGGGAAGGACCTGGAGGTGAGAGGCATCTTTTACTACTCCAGAAAAACGCTCAATAATGAAACACCCCAGGAAGAGAGCTGTATAATGACAATAACTAGAGCATGGGTTCTCTTGCACCGGGTGTTTGTTCTTCCCTTGCTGTCTGTGTGAGTCCTTTCACTCGAGTCGTGAGAAGATAAAATGAGCATTGAGTTATGTGTCGACGAACCTTTCCACCAAATAGATTCATCAAGTGTGCACGCTCGCCGGGGAATTGCTCTTTTTCCGTGCACTGCTACTTTCTCTCTGTCTGCCTGTTACCTTGTTGTCATGCCAGCTGCTGTATCCCTAGGCGACAAACCTTGGAAATCTTTACACTGCAGTATACAACTCTAGTCTGTGTATTACAGAGAAAAGCCCACCAGGCTACTGCATGTGAAGTCTTCCCCACAGCGTTTGAGGAAAAGAGAAGATCCTTCCAACTATTTCCTTTTGGTCTAATAGATTGACTTATGATGCAAGCTTCAGTATCTCAGGCTCAGATTTGAAGGAGCTCTAATAAAAACACATTAAACGGTTAGAATATCTCGTGGACCCATGGACCTCACACTCTCTCCATTTGTTCCCTGTCCAGACTGATTGCTTCAATTACATCAAAATCCTCCTGCGGCTGAACAGCACTCATCTCTACGTGTGTGGCACTTACGCCTTCAGCCCAATCTGCGCCTACATAGTAAGTAACAACCTCTCAGTCTACCTTTTGTTCACCTACAGGATTTAATTTTCCTCCTGTTATCAGACCTTCATTTTCTCTCCTCTCCTCTCATTTCTGAATTTAGATGTATTGTTTGTGTGTTCTGGTTGAATCAAGCTCTTTTCATCCACCGTGTCAGTATTGGATTTGCGGTTATCCGAGCGTAACCAAACGCTTCTGAGGCACTTTAGCCAGACAAGTCAGCAGGGGGTACACGGGCTGCGTGGTTTCCAGCAGGAGATCTGTTTATCTAGCGAAGGAGTACATCTGGAGTGATGGTTACCAGCAGGAGGATGACATTGATTTCAGCGATAGGGAGGCCATCCAGTTTGGTGACAACTCGGCTCTTAAAACAGATTACAATCTCCGCTTTGACGTCAGAGGGAAAGACAAACACCAGACGTCTCAGACTGGAGATCACTTGGCACGACTTTATGCCCTGAACTCAGATTGTGTGTGTGTGTGTGTGTGTGTGTGTGTGTGTGTGTGTGTGTGTGTGTGTGTGTGTGTGTGTGTGTGTGTGTGTGTGTGTGTGTGTGTGTGTGTGTGTGTGTGTGTGTGTGTGTGTGTGTGTGTGTGTGTGTGGTGTGTGTGTGTGTGTGTGTGTGTGTGGTGTGTGTGTGTGTGTGTGTGTGTGTGTGTGTGTGTGTGTGTGTGTGTGTGTGTGTGTGTGTGTGTGTGTGTGTGTGGTGTGTGTGTGTGTGTGTGTGTGTGTGTGTGTGTGTGTGTGTGTGTGTGTGTGTGTGTGTGTGTGTTGTGTGTGTGTGTGTGTGTGTGTGTGTGTGTGTGTGTGTGTGTGTGTGTGTGTGTGTGTGTGTGTGTGTGTGTGTGTGTGTGTGTGTGTGTGTGTGTGTGTGTGAGATCAGATGACAGACATGTATTAAAACAAACCCCTGGCTATAAAAACAACTCCATAGTGATTAAGCATGGGAAGATTTTCCAGGAAACAGGCACTCGACACTGTCCTATTTAATTTGATTTGATTAAATGGAACAAGGTATTGCTATTACCGCAAATTGAACACGTAATCTTTTCTATGTAAATGCAATATTCACCTTCTCATACGCACGTTGAATGCTTTATTGCTCACTGTAATAGTTCCTCTTCTCTGTACTGGCTGTAAGTAGATACCTTCTGTGAGCAATTTCAATTTAAGTGATGGGGAACAATAAATATACGTTGTGCAGAAATGCATTCAATCTGGGTGAAGATAATATCTTACAGACAGTTGTTGAGCACCCTTGTATGGTACATATAGACACGTCAGGTTTGTTTAAAGATGGATTGAACAAATGAGAATCTATCATTTAATTTTTAGGATTGTTTTTTCAAGACTTGTCACATCTTTTTTGATTTTAAACTCTTAAACAGTGTTTAAACAATTGGCTAATCAGTCGAAGAAAAGGAAATCAATTTTGATAATCGATACATTTGTATAGTTAAGTGTCATGCTTCTCAAATTTGAGAATGTGCTGCCATTCTTTTCTTTAAGTCATTTAAGTTATCTTTGGGTTTTAGACTGTTGGTCGGACAAAGGAGTATTTTGAAGACGTCACCCACACATAATGCAACATGATGACTTGTTTTCTAGACTCTCCCTGCCCTGCCCGGTAACAACATGTTCAAACTTCTGTTTGTTACTCAGACTCCCTTAAAAAGCCAAACCCTGACATTACGCAATTCATGTCATATTTTCTCAGACTTTTTCCCTCAAAGCTCCCCAGAGCCAAAGAAGACATTATACAGCTGTTCTCAGAGGCTAAATAATGACCTATATAATGACATATACACTTGAACAAAGAATATTGTATGTACATTAACCAACCTGCGGTGTTAATCAAATAAACCTGCCTGAATACAGAAACAAAAAGTACTTTGAAAGGATAAAGTAATTTGCTTAATCTCAACAAATTAAAATACTAAAGCTAACAGAACTTAAATCTGTCCCTTAATGATGATCTGCTTATCCACTCAGCCCAAAGTCTATTTGTCCTAGTTTATGACATAAATCTTTAAAAGCAGGTCACACATTATATCATAAAAATGTTTTCAGAGGCTTAGTTAATTCCTGCAACAGCTGGTTGGAAGCATTGCATAATTTATACCCGAGTTTGAGGAGTTCTGGGCCTTTTTTTGGAGCAAAGGATTACACATTAATACACATTATTTAGCATTTATGGGAACAGCATGGTGTATGTGTTGTTGATTCACAAAAAACTACAGTAGCTGTGTTCGAAGTGATAGTAATCAGTGAAGCCTAATGATGTTTTTTAACAGCAGCTCGAAAGCATTGATGCATAGGATAAATCAGGTTTTGGCTAACCAGGAAATGGGATCAATTCACTGTTGCCAATTTAAAAAGTATCTCAAAACAGATCCTTTCATATCAGATCAACAAGGATTTATAAATGTGACTGCCATACCCTCTATCTACTGTATACATAACATCGTTTCCTGTCACTAACAGTATCCTAAATCCTTATGTTATCCACCAGACAGAGCTACTCTCTATTCAAAGTGACTGAACTCCCTAAAAGTCTGTTCGCGGTGTATATTGTAATGAAGAAGTGCAGAGAAAGAGCCCGAGCTGGCTTTTTACTGTAAGTAGAGTTTAATTGGACTGTGCCTGAGGGACATTTTCTGTTTGTGTCTTGTCTCCAGAACACGTCAACGTTCACGCTGGAGAGAGACGAAGTGGGCGAGGTCGTGATGGAGGACGGGCGCAGCCGCTGCCCCTTTAATCCAGAGTACAAATCCACCGCCATCATTGTTGGTATGAAGTCACACACTTATTTTTCTACATTTGTGTCACTTTAAACTTTTGGCGTGCGAGGAACAAGGTATTATTATGGGCTGTTTCCCAAGCTGCTGTGATGTAAACTACCACTTTGATGCAGTAATGAGTCCTTTTGGGCCTGCTAATGTTGTTTGTCCGTTCTTCTGATAAATAGCTGGACACCAACAGGCGTTTGTGTTCAACTTCTTTGACGAGCAATTAGCGAATAATTGAGCTGCATATTAGTGGAAGAAATTATTTCTGTAATCCCTCCCTTAAACCGCTCTCACTTTGCTCCAAGCTATTACTGACTTCATCTGTTACCGTTGAGAAGCCCCCAGCGCACCAATTCTTTGTAATTCATTATGTGTGATTAAAAGCAACATCAAGTTCTTAATTTAAAGTCTTACAATCTTTTCTTTTTTTTCTTCCAGATGGTGAGTTGTACACCGGTACTGTCAGCAACTTCCAAGGGAACGAGCCTGTCATTTACAAGAGTTTGGGCCAGGGAACCGCTCTGAAGACGGAGAACTCTTTAAAATGGCTGCAAGGTAAACTCCCCTCAGATGGCAGACTGTACTCATCTTCCATTATGTACCCAACAGAGCAGATGAGCTCCAGAAAGTAGCGATCATTAGCGAGGCGCAGTGGCTAATGCATGCAGACTGAGAGGCCCTATCAGTCGCAGCACATGTACTTCAAAACAGCCAGAGTGTTCACAGCTCTCTAAATACATTTTTCAGCGATACTAAAGCGGAGAAAGATTGTTTTCCTAGCGTGGATGATAACACATGTTTCTTTTGTGTTTATCTATTTTTAACAGATCCCGTCTTTGTCGGGTCGGCTTACATTGAGGAGAGTCAGCCGGTAGGCAACCCCGTAGGAGACGACGACAAGATTTACTTCTTCTTCAGCGAGGCGGGGAAGGAATTCGACTTCTTTGACAACACCATTGTGTCGCGGATTGCTCGCGTGTGTAAGGTAAGACACCTGGGGTTTGGGTCATTAAATAAGGCAACCACGCACAAATAACAGGCACAGTACGGGCCTCATGCTTCCTCTCTCTAATCCCGGTACAATTACCTCCAAACAAGAAGGGACGCTCCCATGTCGAAGCACGTTTGGTCACATTTAGCCGTACGTCATGCCTGTGTAGATGCAATGGAAAATATGTCACGGGTGCGCTAAATCCTTTTCTTTTTGACTGTGCAAACATGTTTTCAACAGATTTCCCCTTGCCTGAATCATCCTCTCCTCCTCAACACGCCACCCTCCCTCCTTTTTCCTCTGCAATGTCACCCCCCCCCCCTCTCCTTCCATCTCCCTCACAATGTCAGCTGCATTCGTCCACTCCTCCAGCTCTTTGCCTTTCTCCACCAGCGCTTTGAGCTTTGCAGGCATTATTAGTATTCAAGGGTGCTTCGCAGCAATATGAAATGCTTTTTCCACTCTACTATATGGCCTGTTTTTGTTGCAGGAAAGGCATGCCAACTGTAGTACCTGCAGAATTCACTCGCATCATTTAAACTGCTGACGTCATCCCCTTCCTCCTGCTCTTCCTCTACAAGAGTTTAGTTTGGTTCGATCATCCTGAATAATCAGCAGCAGACTTTATCCCTTTTCACCTGAGATCAGATCAATTAAACGGCCGCCCGCTATAAATGCACTCCGCATCCGTCCCTGACTGATGCCTCTTGTTCGTGGAGGCAGTAATGTGAGTAATCACGGGGGCAGCATGTAATCTTAAGTGACAGCTTAATGACTTAGTCCTGCAGAACTCTGGCACTCAGGAGCTGCGACACCTCTCTCAGCCGGCAGAGCTCCTCCTGGGTTCTATATATGGAAATCATTGACAGAAAGCCCCCAGACTGTGGCAACTTGCTGCAGATGAACTGGCGGAAGAATGGCTTTCTCTGCGATATAAAGCGCCTTTATTTCTCTGGAATGCAGCAGCACTCGTTCCCCTGACAGGAATCTTTTCAGACGCTGTTCAGTGGCAGTACAGCAGGGAAGCAGGTGGTTTAATCACCAATTTACTGGGGTAATTCTTACGGACATGAACAAATCTTTGAGATGAGGCTTAGGACTTCCAACTGCTGTCCACTTCCTACTAAGATAAATGCTCTTGTAGTTTGTAATGATGTGCAAATGAACGCCTTGCAAATGTTTTTCTCCAACACCCTTTTCTATGCATGCAAGCAACCGATATCATAGAACTGCAGCTGGTTTTAAGATAGACGATAGAAGGACTAATTTTCCAGGGATTTTGGGTATATTAAGACTTAAAGGACAAGTGTCACAAATTGTAACCATGGAAACATTGCTTGTAATTTAAATATAGCTTGTGAGGGTTGGATAACTTCTTAGGCTTATAATAAGTCAGTTCTTGTTTTTGTGAAACACGCATTAGACTAGATATTTTTAAAATCTGACACTGTGCTACCCCCCTCAGTCAGACAATAACTCACGCTCAACATGGAACTACAGTTCCCATGATGCTTTTGGGGATGTTAACAGCTTTTATGCTATGAGCTACAACTAAGCCCCGTGTATAACATTTGTTACCATTTTGGTACCATTTCATTTATGTTGAAAATAGGGTATCGGCAGTTTCTGTTTGCAACATACCTTTGGAGGTACAGAAAGCTATAACTGGATTACTTTGATATTAAAGGAAACTTAAAATAACAGGATGATTTTCAGGCAAATTCTGGGGTTGTAAGAGGCATCTTTTAACGATTCTTAGGGTGATTTATAGATGTTTATGTGTGATGGGCATCAGCGATAAAGACATCCTCTAAATATGTAAGTCACACTGAATTCAAAAATATGCATATCATGTCTGTGTTTTTAGATCTCACTGAGTTATATGACTCACAGAAGGAGATGCAAATTGCTCCAATCAGGCTCCAAGGGTTTTAAAGCACTGTAATTGCCTTTAAGAGCTGCTGCTGCAGATCTTATTGGTGAGCGAGACAAATCAGCGACCAGCTACAGTAACTCATTTCCTGTTGTTTTCAGAACTGCCGCATGCACCTGCCACATCTCACAGTGTCTTTTCCTCCCATCAGACCAGTATTAAAGCCTCAATTGATTTTGAGAAACCCGCCCTATTGCTGCAAGCTCACATCCCCAGCTATTACCATATTCATCTTATTATTTTTCTCAGAACAGTGTCTCGTATCTGAACACACACCCTGTGTAGATTAGGTAACGGCGAGGTATGAAGGTGTGTGTTTAGTATAACACACTCTTGCAGACTGACAGAAAGCATGCTCTCTGTGTACATACCCTAAGGCCAAAAATGTTAATGTGCTTTTATTTTGATATCTGTAATATTTTGAATATGTTCATCTTGCCAGACGTTTTAAAGAAGCCATGTTTCTCGTGAGATATCAAAGGCATTTCAGTTTTCTCCTGCTGGCCTCACTACTGTTTAACTTGGGTTTTCCGAGTAATTCTGCTTCCGAAGTGGTTTTTTCTCCCCCTCCCTTCTTCTGCTCCCTCTTTCTTTTGTTTATTCAGGTGCGCACACTGACTGTGGAAAGCAGGCAGATTATCAACGCAGTGTGGCACTACTTTCTTTACCTTCTTTTCATCTATAAGGAATCTGTAATGCTTAAATGCAGATAAAATATAAGAGAGGTGTAATCCAGAACAAAATAGCGAGTGTGTTTTTGTAGAGAAGCTATCGGGGGTGTGGTCGATGCGATTGAGAGTAGCTGCGCAGAGGACAGCTGAGAGCAGGAATGTGGTCTCCTCATTATGAGGAAGGGCTACTACCACAGACTAGTAATTGGCTCTCAGACCGTGCATCTATCGGCCCCACGAGCTTTCACCTCAGCGTTGAGCAACAAGATTGTTTATTTGTAACAACACAGAGGAGAAAACAGGGAGAGTTATAGTTTTAGCATGTTTTTCATTCACTTCTGTGCTGTCATGAAGGAGTTGTTTTGCAGGCTCGTGCTCATGATATTTTGGATTTTGAGGCAGGAAAATGTCTCTCATAGTTTTAGTTTTCAGTGGTGTGAGATGTACTCGGCTATTTCACTTAAGTAAAAGTAGAAATACTACAGTGTAAAAATACTCTGTTACAAGTAAAAGGCCCATTTGAAATCTTAAGTAAAAGTACAAAAGTATTGGTATGGAAATATACTTAAGTAAAAGTACTTATTGTGCGAGATATCCCATTTTAGATGAATATGAAAAAAAAGTGATTACTTTTTTTGATGCCTTAAAGGTCCCCTATTATACTGTTTTTCATTTCTTTATTATAGGTCTCAGATATATACAAAACATGTCTCTGAAGTGTTTGTCTCCAAACACCAAACAGATCAATGTAGCATCCCATAATCCCCTCTGTTTCAGCCCTGTTTCAAAAGTGCTGATTCTCTGTCTGTTACTTCAGATGAAAATAAGGAGCCCCTCCCCACGCCCCTCTGAGAGATATTTGGTTAAAAAGAACTCAATGGTGCTCTAGGAGGAGATTCAGGTGATAAGGTGGGGGGGGGGGGGGGGGTTACCTTGGTTGGTGATTGGCTAATGGTTACACAAGCCAAAACAATCGTTCATAAAGTGGCCAAAATCTGATCAGCTGATTTTCAGACAGGTTTTTATATAAATGGATCAGGACAAAAAGTGAGAGAATCTTTGTTCCTGAAACTTTCAGAATCTCTTTACACAGAGAGGGGACACATGTTGATGTAGAAGAGACATGTGTCCCCTCTGTGTAAAGAGAGAGTCTCTTTACACAGAGGCCCCGCTCACACGGGACCGTTTGCGTTTATGCACAGTATGCGTATTTAAAAAAGTCTTCCGTTCACATGCATTTGTTTCATTTAACGTGTCTGTTCAAACGAGGCCGCTGGAAACGCTGTAGTACATATGCCGGGACTGTAAGTGGCGCTGTAACTTCCGCCAAAATACACCAAAAGCAGCGAAGAAGAGCAGCCCCAGCAGCCCCCGCCGCAATGTTGCCATGGCTACCCTTCTGTTCATGCCCCGCCGTGGATTTAGCAACATGTAGTTCATGTAATTCTCCATGTCCACTTGTTGCTGATGGTTGTGGTAGAGGAGCTGTAGATTTTTGCACTAATATCTGTAGCATGGTCAGTAGCAGTAGCACTAGCAGTAGCTACTGACAGTAGGAAGTGTGTGTGGCGATTGCTGGTATTCAGCGGGATATAGTAATTTCCTCAGCATATGGATAAATGCTACGGGGAAGTTAACTGAAAGAAACCGAATCTGTGGATATTGCATCGACCGACGTCTCCGTGGAGAGGACCCGCTCAGAAAAGAGAGATATTCTCTACAAACACCGGGTGAGATCCTCCTTTGGATCAATGCATGAAATCTGACTCTGTTTATTTTGTTTAAGGAGTATATTGGGCGTTAACTATTCTGGTTTGCCTTTTATAATATTATTTCATTCAAGAACCCCTTGTGCGTTTAATTAACACAGCTATTTTTGATAGTTGCTACAGCAATGAGCAGGAGAGGTGCTATTTATTTATTTTTTTTCGCTATTTTTTCAGGAAATATTCGTATAGAGGTGATTACACGGACTCGGTTGACCCCCCAGAGCGTTTCGTTTGCAAATCTATCCACCTTGGGACCCGTTATCGTTTGTAGGGTCAGTTTCTATCGGCCTCGTGTAAATAATAGGGCTATACGCACGCGAAACTATGCAGATACAAGCAGTTTTCTCCTCGTGTAAACGGCGCTAGAGAGGGGACACATGTTGATGTAGAAGAGACATGTGTCCCCTCTGTGTAAAGAGAGAGTCTCTTTACACAGAGGGGACACATGTTGATGTATAAAAGACATGAACAAGTGGATTTTGCATAATAGGTCCCCTTTAATGTGTTCATCACAGCTGGTAAAGGTGGAGCTAATTTAAGTACTTTACATACTAGTGCTCAATATCTCTAACCTATAGTTATACTGTATATCATAGTTTATTTATTAGTTTATTTGTATTTCGTTTTAGCCAATAAGCTGAATCTTTAAACTAACTTGTAACTAATGTTGTCAAATATATGTAGTGGAGTACAACATTGGAGAAGTATAAAGTATCGTCAAGCAAAGTACAAGTACTCCAAAATCTTACTTAAATACAATACTTGAGTAAATGTACTTCACTTATTACACCACTGATAGTTTTGAGTTGTATCATCTCCTCACGGGTCATTCGCTCCTGTGCTGTTATAAGGAGTTGTTTTTTAAGCTCCTTCTGGTGGTGTTTTGGATCTGAGGCAGGAAACTATCTTGAGATTGGGCGAGACCACTTGTTTTGGTCATGCTCTTCCTCCTCCTCCTCCTCCTCCTCCTCGTGCTCCTCCTGTGTTTTTCAGCTTGCGAGCTGTACTTGGGAGGAGTTTCTTTCGGTGTGTTTACAGATCTTTGATAATTGCCAGTCCTAGCAGAGCAGTCTGATAACTGTTTATCTTTACATTTAGTGACAGCTTAAAAGGAGTGAATGCCTCCTCTGTTTCTCGGAGGAGAAGAGAGGAGAGAACCACTGATGCTGATTTCAAAGCTGTAATTAATAACTAACCATTGTTTGTTTTCCATTTCACCACCTCCTCTACTTCAAAGAGCAACCAATATGGTGTGCTAAGGCATCTTTTTTTCATTTAAGTATTTCATTTTATGGGGGAAATGTCCTTTTGTAGTTTGGTACAATGCTCCGCACAACACCACAGGAAAGGATTGAAATACTTGGAGCTGCATTAAAAGTCCTGGTTTTTATTTGTCCGGTTTATTTCCCCCAAAAAGGGTCATTGCTGTCCCAATATCACTTTCTGATTTCCTTATTTGATCACAACAGCACCACCTGAAGCAAAGACGAAGGATTGCATCTGCAGGTCTTTTCTAACCCTTCTAACTGCTAGATAAATACACCATATCTAATCCTGCTCCACTAAAGAATAAGTTTGCTTATTGACAGATTTCTTTGGGATGTTTAAGTCTACCGGGTGTCCGCGGGGTCTTAAAAAGTATTAAAAGTTGATAAATCAAATTAGCGAAAATGGCTATTAAAAAGTATTAAGCGGCATTTTCCAAGGTATTACATTTTGTAGCTTGTTTTCAATAAGTATATAAATTGTCCAAAGAGGTTGTATTCCACAGTCTGCCTGAATGTAATCATTGCGTAGGTGTGTAGTGTGATTCTGTGTAGTTTATTTATGGCATCCCGTTGGATTTGACGTCATCTGAACAGGACATCGCACGCTCACGGCTTGATGGCGCGCGAAGGTCCGTTTATGCCGGTTGTTAAACAACATCGTTATGGGGAAATGCAAGTTTGCGTCCAAATGGTTGAAAGATAAGGAGGAAGGACAATCAATACTGTATATAGTCAAATGTGAGGTAAAGTGTGTCGCCAATGTAACCGGTTAAAACTCCAAGTGGCGATGAGGTCTTAAAATGTATGGAAAGGGTCTTAAAAAAGGTATTACATTTGACTTCAGGATTCCTGCATATACCCTGGTCTAGCTTAAGTACGTATGAGAAGAGTTTGACACGAGAATGTTTCATCATCAATCTGCTGAATGGAGAAAGTGTCTCTGTGCTCGCCTTAAAACTAAGATGTTTTTTGTCCTTGGGTCTTCTTCTAACACACTTGCTCTGTCTGCAGGGTGATAGAGGCGGCGAGCGTGTGCTGCAGAAGAAATGGACGACCTTCCTGAAGGCCCAGCTCCTCTGCTCCCTCCCGGACGACGGCTTCCCCTTCAACATCATCCAGGACATGTTTGTCCTGAAGCCCATGGGAGACAGCTGGGAGAGCACCGTCTTCTATGGCGTCTTCACCTCCCAGTGGTAAGAAACGAGAGGAGGTTCACTTAACGTTGACATACATGTGATGAATCTGATTTATGGAGCTGTCACAGTTTATGTTTATACACAAACACACACACACACCATCTTGAGCCAGATTTTATTTAATATCTGCACGGAAACTTGGCTAGTTGCCTTTTTCCAACTTGGCTCCTCTGAATTTCGAGCAGCTGTAAGAAGCTCAAACACAAGCCCATGCAACCCCAATGTCTAATTAATGTATCAACAAAATAAAGGTTGTAATATGGGAATCATTCAAGTGCCCACTCTACAACTGTTCTCCACACAGAAGCTGCCAGGTAATGAATGACAACTGCAGAAAGCAGGGATTAGGTGAATAAAAAGGGTTGCATGCATTGAAACTGAGGTATAATACATGTCTTATGTTGTCACAGGTATAAAGGAGCATCAGGCAGCTCGGCAGTGTGTGCTTTCACCATGGCCCAGGTGGAGAGAGCCTTCAGCGGGCGCTACCGAGAGGTCAACAGGGAGACGCAGCAGTGGTACACCTACAACCATCCAGTGCCAGAACCACGGCCCGGGGCGGTGAGTGGAGCATGAAATACCCTGTGATAAACATGCAATTCAGCTTATTTTGGTTCAGTCTGTGCATCTGATCTTTCAACTAGCATCAGATTCTATTGAGTCACATGTTTACCATGTCAAATATGTATTTTGTTATCACATTTACAAAACATTTCTGGTTGTTACCGAGGGCTGTTCAACGGGTTGATTTAAAGCAGATGTTCTCCTTTAATCTTCCAAATCTGCTTTCTTGCTGACAGTTAACTCTTCATAATTCCCTGGGGCAAAACAAATGCCTAAAAGCTTAAAACTAGTAGATATTTGCTTAGAAAAACATGTTTACAAACGTATATTAGTCAATGCAGCAGTTTCAAGGTCTGCTATCGTACAAAACTACGTATTTATTCTTTGTTTCCAATGATACCTCACTCCAATCTTAATGTACTTCATAAGTAAAACCAGACACTATTTTGTCTCGTGATTTATACTTCTAGGTCTACTGGGATAAGCAGTAAACCTGGAATTCATAAGTCATATTTCATTTCTAATTTACTCCCTTACAGTGTGTAACCAACCACGCCAGGCAAATGGGTATCCAGTCGTCCTTGCACATGCCCGACAAAGTACTAAACTTCGTCAAGGACCATTTCCTGATGGACAGTGTGATCCGCAGCGCCCCCCTGCTGCTGAAACGCAACGTCCGCTACACACAGATCGCCGTGCACAAGATCCAAGGCATGGAGAGGGCCTACGACGTGCTCTTCATCGGAACAGGTGCGGCTCATTACACAACTACTTATTTATTATTTGTGGGTCTTTCCTTAAAGGTGGGGTAGGTAAGTTTGAGAAACCGGCTCGAGATACACTTTTTGTTATATTCCATGGAATGCTCTTAACATCCCGATAGCAATGAATATCTTAAGTGCTTTGACAAAAAATCCATAAAAAAATGTCATCTGTGGAAGCCGTAATACTGTAAAAAGCACGACCAATTATTTTAGCCGGCCCGGCTAAAATAACTGGATGGCCTACCTGCCTGTCAGCCTTCCATCTGTGCACAAACTTATCTCGTGCCCTCATTGGTCATGTGCGCGTTCGTGTGTGTTGGAGAAGGGGCTCTGTAAGGAAGTGGCAGATTTTCTCCGGTTGTGTATTTTCAAATTCTAGCGCACTCGAGCCGGTTTCTCAAACTTACCTACCCTACCTTTAAATCATCAAAATGAAAAATAACATTACAAGGTATTCTCCCATTATTCTCGAACTTAAACTGTGATTTCACAACAGTAGAAATGGCTTCCTTCCCCTACAAGCTGTCCCCTGCCTACAGTCTAAGTCTCTTCTACTTGTCCCCTGTGTCTCGCAGATGATGGAAAGCTCCATAAAGCCATCAATGCCAACGATAAAATGCACATCATCGAGGAGATGATTCTGTTTCCTGAGCCTCAGCCTGTGCAACACATCGAACTCGATCCTCAGAGGGTAAATCTCACCTCCTAATACTCATCTATAATCATTGTTGTCATACTGGTTTGTGTCAGTTCATTTTTAATGTTATGTTGTTTACCTTTTCTATACGTAAACTCTCAAGTAATAAAATTGCGGAGGAGCTGGATTTACCGGAGCTGGCTACAGGAATTTTCTTTCCACAGCGGCCGGTCCATTGAGTTTTCCTGGAAGCTGTAGCGAGGTCTTAGTTTCTGATCCTCCCTGGCATTTTCCCCGGAGCTACATTTCATTACCTTCCTCCCTTTTATTACATAATGGCCTCTCCCGGGGCAGCCAAACAGCAATCTTATCTAAGATTATGTAATTCCAATATAGTCCAAGATACTTTTGTGAGTATGTTCTTAGCTCCAAATAGGGATATGAGGGACAGACGTAATCCACATGATGTATATCTAATATACTGGTAGATAACATGGCCTAAATATAGTCTGCCGTTTTGGGAAGAGGGTGGCGTAATGTACGTCAGCATCACGTTCATGGAGCAAATGCATTTCTGGATAATAGCACTTCAGCACAATGATACATAATGAGTTAAAAGTGAGGTTAATGTAATGAAGTAAATGACAATGCTCTGTAGAGACCACTTGAGCACCGCTGCCATATGTTTTTGATCACAATCAAATGACTTGGCTGGCATCAAGTAAGAGAACAGCTGGCCAGAGTTAGTACTTTGTTTAGGTTTTATTCTTCTGTTTGTCTTGAGTAATTATTTTGGCATGGTTTATCCTTTTGAAATCAGGATAAGTAACCCAAAGCAGACGTTCTGTTCAGCCCTTTAACCTTTGTGATGAGGAATGAGTATCACATGTGTTTGTCTCATCCGCAGGGTCTGTTGTTTGTGTCGTCAAACTCTGGGCTGGTGGAGGTTCCTGTGGCAAACTGCTCCAACTACCTGAGCTGTGGAGAGTGTGTGTTGTCCCGAGACCCATACTGCGCCTGGACCGGGCGGCTGTGCCGGGACGTCAGGATGGCTCCACCTGACAGGTGAGCGCTCACACACAGACACAAGACACATAAACACAAGACTTGACCAAAGACTCCAGACTTGACTTTATCTTGCCTGAAATAGACTTCTAAATGTATCTGGCCCTCCGTATTAAAACCAAAAGTATCTCTTACTTTGAGTAGTTTATTGACCAGGTGCTTTTTCTTTGAATTTTTACTTTTCATAGGAGCATTTGCGCTTTTACTTAAAGGGGACCTATCATGCAAAATGCACTTTTTGATGTCTTTTATACATCAATATGTGTCCCCGGTGTGTCGGGGAACTCACGCAGCGTCAGAAAATAAAACCCTCTCTCTTTTCCTCCGTACCCAAATCTCTAAAAACGGGGCTACAACGGAGCTGATCCAGATTTGCGTCCGATATGACGTAATATCGGAAATGTGGACCCACGGCCCTATCAGAAACGTTGCTATCAGAAACAATGCCTGACTGTTTTGGATGTAATATGGTCTGTGTTTACATTAGCATCGCTAACACTCAGAGCTAACCTGTACTGCACAGAGCATGTGTGTGAAGAAGCAGGAAATAAAAAGGAACTCACCTTGTGGTATAACCGGCAAGAGAGAAAGCCTTTGAGCTCCATACTGTTTCAGAAATAATCCTTGATAATCCATGATATGGCGTTTCATCACGGCAGTAGCTGCCGGTAGAATCTCCCGCATGAGCTCAGCCCCCTCCTTTTCTTTTGTATCAATTCTTTTTTTGGGTGATCTGTTTGGTATTTTGAGCAAAACCCTTCATAGACATGTTTTTTATATATTTTTATATATCTGAGACCTATGCTATTACCTAAAAATAGCATGATAGGTGCACTTTAAAGTGAAGATTGTTAGTACTCATCTCTTTGAAGTCAATTAATTTCAACTTCCAGCTTTGACAGTACATCCATCTTTTCTAGAAAGGTATTCTAGTTGAGTATTTCTTTAGGTGATTTAGTTGCAAGTTATCAATTAAACTTCCTTGCTTATCACCAGTGCACTGCATTGCATTCAGGCGTTGACATTTGGACAATTTGGAACCATCATTTGGTTCCAAATTGATGAATATTTGGAAAAGCTTTTTTTCACACATTTTGAAGTACAGGTATTAAAACATCCTTTTCAGGTTACTTAAAAGACCCAAACAAAGACATACAAATGCATGCAAAGTTCCTATTGATTTTGTTGACTAGCAAGCTTTTAAAAGAAGATTGTTTTCTTAGTCATGCTGATGGAGCTGTACTTCAGGTGAAACAATGACAGACTTACAGAGGGTTACACAACTGCAGCAGGTTCCTCTCATTACAGCTGCCATCCCTCACACTGTTGTTTTTGTGGTGTGTGTTGTCTCAGTCACTGGCAGCAGGATGTGGAGGAGGCGGACACATCAGCAATCTGTAACCGGACGATCCCCAGCGCCAGAGCTGCCCGACCAGCCGCTTCTCGTGAGTGGGCGCTCTTTGTGTAGTGCTCTGTAATTAAAGTGTTTTTACCTACTGGACACCACAACAACACAAATATTAGCTTATTTGTATGAGTGCAGGTAAAAGCAAACACTTCTCTGTGTAACTATTCACTTTAATTATCATCTTAATATGCAGTCATATATATACTGTTTAATACAGTAAATAATTCCGTAACCACAAAAATCTCTTTCTCTCTCATCTAAAAAAAAAACACACAGATTCTTTATGAGGAAAATGTGTTTATTTGCTTATTTTATAAAGCAAAAATAGGCCGGGCACATGAGGAAATCTGTGACTGCTGTATTTGAGTCTGCCTCCTTTTAAAATGACTGACGGAGTGCTCTACCTCCCCTGATAGTGTGTGATATTTTTAATTAGCACCTATGGGAAATATAAACTCAATAAATAGTTCCATCTTTTAAAACTGCCGGTACCCCAGGTGGTACGATTGAGGTTAAACAAATATAGTACAACATGTTTATTTGTGAGCTTTAAAGGTGCTAGTAGGCAGGTTGTGTTACCTCTGGATAGAGCAAGACTTGTAACGCTGTTTTGTCTCTAGCCTTTAAACAGACAAATGTGAAAAGGCTCAAGATTTGAACTGTTCCTTACGGTTTAATGAACTGAAACTTTAGGTCATTTAAAGCTTTATTGTCTCCTTTTTTCATACGTATTTATAGGTGGCTCCCAATGCAAGCTCATCACACTCCCAATCAACACTTTCAAAGTCCTGCCCTGTAAGTCGCGGTCCAACCTGGCGCAGAGGAGGTGGAGCTACAGTGACGCGGCCAGCCAGTTCCTGTACGCCACTCCAGAGGGAAACCTGGTGGTGGTGGCGCAGGCCGACAGGGTGGAGACCTACGAGTGCTGGTCCGAAGAGGAGGGTTTCCGCCAGCTGTTGGCCAACTACTGTGTGAGGGCGGAGCCTCGCCAGGAGAGCACCACTCTGATTGGTCACTCGCGCACCCCGCACATTGAGCGAGAGGAGAGCATCATCCTGCCGGGCGAGGCTCGCTCGGGGCAGGTCCTCCACACCAAGACGTACTGGAACGAGCTGATCGTGGTGTGCGCCCTGCTGGCCTTCTCCCTCGTGGTCTTCTCCCTGTTCGTCATCTACAGGAACCGAGATCACATGAAGTCCATGCTGAAGCAAGGCGAGTGCCCTAACATGCAGCAGAAGAAGCCGAGGATTGTGGGAAAGCCCGCTGAGAGCTTACCCCTAAACGGTAGCACCATCCCCGTTTCCACTTCTGATCACAAGGGCTACCAGACGTTAAACGACAACTACATCTGCAGCACGCCCACGCACGAGTCCTCGCCCGATAACAGCAAGAGCTTCTCCGAGGCCTCCGACAGGCGGCCGCTCAATGTGAAGGAGAGCCACGTGGAGTATTCCCCGACCTGCCCCCGGCCCAGAGTGAGGCTAGGCTCCGAGATCAAAGACTCTATCGTATGAGAGCACAGTGTTCGCTAAAAAAAAGTTGCCCCCCTGTATCTCCATGAGGGATACAGGCCGCCGAGCAAAGGAGAGGAGACCCTGACATCCCTCTACATCACAGCACATCCTTTATTTTAGTCATCTTTTGTTCTGTGATCAATGCGGAGGTCATTTCTTTAACCATTTCCACTCCCAAGCCAGAGGTTGGTCTGGTGCGATGCATAAGGCAGGCCCAGGATCAACAGTCATGGCAGCTGCTCAGAATATAACTCTTTGTCATTCTCACGGCCACTGATGTGTGTGAGGCTGGGCAATACGAGGAAGAAAAACACCAGAGTAACTAGAAGACCTTCTTCTGATATCAATATTTATCACCATATTACTTAAGGTATGCAAGATCCAACATTAAAATGTCTACTTAATGTCAATTAAATGACATTATAAAATAATTTATGAATATTGATAGGTTTCCCAGCCTTATTTAAGTACCTGTAACCTAACACATGCTCTGCAGAAGATGTACTTCTGTTATTATGCACACTAGAACCAAGCTACAGCTACATGGTCACCAAGAGTTCAGGTTTAGGAGAATATATCATTTTTTGCATATTCATTTATGATCCATCGTTATGGAAGTCAAGAGCACATGTGTTCCCTTTTTGCTGAATAAATGCCATGAGTGTATGAGGATCAAGATGATGAGAGATGAGGCTGATCAGGAGAAGACGCCACATGCTCTTGGAAAAAACATTAAAAGGACTATAACTAAAAGAAAGATGATCATAAGTTATGCTCCAGGGCCTAAATACTGACATTTACCTCCTGAATGTATGTTGTTGTTGTTGTTGTTGTTCAAAGGATCATTTACACATCACCCCACCATGGACGATTAGGGACCCTGTTGCTCTACATCTCTGAGGCAGCCATGTTCTTCAGTATTAACCTGCAGGTACCATGATGGGCTCTTAAAATAAATATGGAAAAGAGACCTGACATTGTTACGTCAGTCAAGGCGGACTTTACAAGCACAGAGAGCCAAGAAAAGAAAAAAAGGAACGTCCACAACCCCTCCATCTTCAGGGCAGCAGCAAAATCATCATGTGCACTGTGCCAAAAAAAACAACTTGATTGTCTTATCTAATGCAATAGTGCCATTCTGTTATGACCACTCCATGCTTTGCGTTAGCATTGATCACTGTCGAAGAGCACATGGTGGAGGAACCAGAAGTGGGTTTCACAAAAGTGGCACTAATAATAAACAAATGTGAAGTGCACAGATGGACATTTCTCGAAGACTGTTAGCTCATGACGAACTTTTCAGACTGTGTTGAGCAAAAATAATTGACGTTCATGGAGAATCTGAACTGGGGCCAAAGGAGGAAGGTTTCTTCATGTGAACACTTGTCTCGCGGTTGTCAGGTGAGAAAATATTCCAGTTTTTCCTTTAGCTACCCTTAAAGGACTTATTTGCCTTCTTACTATACACTGAAACATACAGGTACAACTAGTTTGACGAGCGCTAAAAACACAAACTGTTCATCTAAGCGCCAATAACTCAAAATGAACAACTATTAATAACTGTCTCTGTAGTGTAGGGATGATATTTCATGTTATCTTTTCCACACTGCAGCTGCACTATGTAGTGATGTAGTTGCACAGAGCGCTGTATAGGCTCAATATAACCCCCCCCCCGCCTCCCCAGCAGGTTACATTTCTAACATACATGGCGTTCCCCGCACTCAGTCAGATGTCATTGCGATGGTAATGTGAAAGCACAAGTAATCAGGGTCTTGAATACCTACAGGTTTGCACATGTCAATAAAATCAGAGCGTACTCTACTGAGAGACATGAGGTGTAGCTGCTGAGGAAAATGATTTGTAGAAATCACAGGGACCAGTGCAGCCATGACGAACACATTGCACCCACATAGCTTGGACTTTTGAGACTTAACAAGCAGAATTTCCCAAAGATGTAGGATGCTGATTGTGTTGTGTAAATCTGAAAGAGAAACATTTACACGGCCATAGAGACGATATGGCACCACATGTCTTAGAATACATCGCCAATTCACTGTATTGATCAAGTAAGCCTACAGTATATATTCCAGTATCAAACAGAATAAACCTTTTTGCTATGAACAACACTGAGCAGATGACGAAGTGTTATGTAACTGCTACAAGTTGACAAAGTAATTGCACAGCATACTGCGCAACAGTGGTCAGTGTTTCCTTTTTCGTTCGATTTTGTTGTGTATATACAGTATCTGTGCTTAATATTGTGTGTTTTTCAAGGGACCTTGTGCAAGATGTGTTGTAGAGATAGTCTTTAAACTAGAGAGTGAACACTGCTGATATTTTGTTTTCATAGTGCTTTACTGCCTACTTCAGCAAACATTTCCAATCTTGCACACAAGACAGTACATTTCTTACCATGCTGTTAGATCAGCACTTGGGCTGGTTTTCATCAAGCATGTCAAAGCAGGAGGAGTATCTGTTGTTTATATTTGTCAAACTCAATTAGAGGTGCAGTGTGATGTAGTAGGATGAGCATTCACTTTTTTGCTGAGAGTCAGATGAGAAGATAGATGCTAACCTTAGCTTAACTTAGCATACAGAATGAAAATGAGGAAAAGGGCTACCATGGCTCTGTCCAAAAGTAAAAAAAAACTGTTAAGTAACACCCAGACGTTGTGTTGAGGTTGCCAGAAAACCTCAACACAACGTCACTCCTCACGGCCAGGAACTAGCCCGGCAGATAACTCTCTGTAAAACCTCAATGCCCCACTTTCTCACAGTTTTTTTGCAGTGACAAACACAAGGTACATTTTAGAGTGGCTGGTATGCACATTTTGCCTCGTTGAACATCATTTCCTCAATGTTCTAGTCTTTGCGCTGAGCCTGTTGGCTTATATTCACCATAAAGACATCAATTGTGTTTCTTCTCATCTTACTCTTTGCAAAACAAACTAATGCATGTATTTCTCAAACATTCTACCTTCGATTTAATCTTTTTAGCTGTGGCTAACCAAATAAACAAGAGTAAAGCCTTTTCCAACAGATGCATAACAATAATATCAGCCTCTAAGAGCCTTGGCCCAGAGCATTGTTTGACATCACTGCTAAATCAGATTTTCTGAACTGTATAACATTTCTCTGGAGACAGAAAACCCTGCTTTCAGATGCTTGGTGGATAACCTCACTGCATATTTTCAAAATGCCTTTAGATGAAGTTGCTCTGCCTTTAGCCACGTGCCACATCGAGCTCTACCCAGCAGTGACCTCACCACCGGAGATGTGGTGAAGGCCGTGATTGTAGCCCTCCGTGGGCACACTTAACTCAACAACACTACACGGGTCAACAGTAGATTTTACATGCCACCATTACCTGCAAACTATAGGACCTGGAGCCGCTCAAAATGTTGTACTATTCTGCGCATTGTGTCAGACGTTATACTGTGCATATAGGAAACATCTTTCTGTAGAGGTCAATATTTAAGAATTATACTATTTGACCTAATGCCAAAAAAGTAAATAATGTGTCATGAATGCATATTTATTAATGACAAGCTTTTCACAAAAAAAGTCAATAATAACCTGGTGAATGATGCTTCATTTTGAGTGGCTCCTCAGTAATGCAACATACTGTACAGGACATGAATGTAGCCAACTATAACATGTTTTGTAGAGCATCTACAGCGGTGTATTTTCCTAGGAAGGCCGCTTCAGTAGGCAATCCATTGCAACACCATATTAGGATTTTGTTCAAACGGTCATACTACAATGAAACGGCACAATAGAAGTAATTAATCATTTGTGCTGCACGATGTTGTGCTGCAGTAAGATGCAAGCACAGCTCCAAATCCTCCGTATCGGCTCAGCCATGAGACACAGCGGCGCTTTGCCTCAGCGTACTGAACAACATAAGCTTAGTTGACTGAATAACTATTAGACAAATGTGGTCTTGCCTGCATGATTTCCTTTTTTATTTGTTGTGTACAAATAACATTGTGAACTGTATTTTTTGTATCATTGAGATTGTGACTGTTGTTTTTATTATATTGTACATAAAAAGCACTTTATTTTAATTTTTTAAGATAAATGAATAAAATACATGTTTTGAAAAAAGTGTGAGTGTATTTTAATTTGTAGTTTGCAGCCAAGTCGTTGAATTTGACATATAAGGCATGTGTTGATTGATTGATACATTTGATTTCAAAGTAAAATAAATAATTACAAAACAAAACAAATGTTGCAGTGCATAGTCATGTAAGAAAAATCAAAACAGAAAATGACATTTACAACAGCATTAGCAACATAAACAGTCCCACATCTAGTGTTCGACAAGGAGTGAGAAGAAGTATAATTTATTTAATCTCACCCCCTTGTCCCTAAATGATTTATTTATAATCTATAATCTGCAATAATTGTCATTATTATGAATTATTATTGTTATTATTAATCTTCTTTACCTGTTGATTGACATATATACATATACACATGTACATACACACATACATACACACACATACACATATATACATATACGCACATATACATATACACACCTACATACTCACACATACACATAGTCAAACACCTTCCCCATCCCTGCACCTCGAGAAAATAATTTCTCTGTATTTCCTCTTGAACTGGTTAATGTCTGGACATCGCTTTAGCTCCACATTCACACTGTTCCATAGTCTGTTTTATGAATAATACAATAATAAATATACTATTTATATATGGTCTATTTATTTGAATATCTTATTTATTTAACATTAGCATTACCTCAATTGCATTTTTGCAGTTTTTGTAATCCAATTGAATCATGCCTGAACATCTATCTACAATTTAGTAGTTCATTAAATACATGTTCTGCTCTTAATATTTTATTTGTAAAGTCTGTGTGTACATCTAAATTAGGTTATTTAAAAATGTTAGATGTATTTATTTATTTATTTGGAACTTAATTGTATTTCCATTTCTCCATAGTGAAGTTGTGCTTGCATTAGCTGATGGGCTACAGCTGCTTCATTTTAGTGTGTGCCCCCTGTGGCTCATTGTTAAGCTGCCTGGCTGCCAGCTGACTTGAAACCTCCCTCCACATCCATGCAGGTGTGCAGTATGGGAATGTATTTATCTGACACACTACATAACATCGGACAGTGATGGCTTGAGCTCTTCTCACCCCAGTTACAGAGCATTCAGTTTGCTGAACACTGTTTCAGAGGGCAGCCCTGTCATAAACGTCAGCTGTGGGAATCAATACATTCAGCCATTTATAGACACTGTGTAGCTGCGTCCAGTGTTGAATGTTTACACAGAATGGACAGAGGGACGATGACACTGTTTGATCTGTGTACAGCACAGGGTGTCTTTCCAGAGGTTAGTGTCACTTTGTTTGTAAACATGAACTAGTTTCAGTCAGAGGTTAAACTAATACACAGGATAGACTTTTACACAATAATCCAACTTTCTAAAACCAAATCAAGCATGAAAAACAATTAAGTAAGCCCTTACAATATAAATGGGATCTAATTATGTCTAATAAAGATCAGTTCAGAGATGTTTGACCTTCATTCTGACATCAGTCTAAATTCTCCAAATATTAAACTCTGATCTAGAAACCACTTTCCCCATCAGTTAATTGTAACCTTGAAACCTCACCCTTGTCTGCCAGCACTGTCAAATTGTACATCAACATCAAATTCCATGTTGTTTTTGATGACGAATTCACAATAATCTACTGAAATAGTGATGAGTAGCAAAACAAGCTCGGGAAATGGTATAACGACAACACGAACACCTTCACTGAGTCCTCTGTCTCAACGTTATGTGCTTGCATCAGGACATGTAATTATAGCCCACCTTAACAACAGCATGAACCCACAGTCATCTGTTCTCAGACCCTAAACCTGCCTCAACATGGACGAGATGTTCTGCAGGAGACTCTGCTGGGACAGGACAGTGCACTGTGAATAAATCTCACCTTATTGATGTCCTAACACCCCTGCTGAGACAGAGATCAGCTGCCAGCAGGAATGACAACAGGCCTCCCCCCTCACACACTGCCCATGTGTGTGAAATCTCTCATGGTCTTTGCATACAGTTGAGACCCAGAGACAGTGACTCAGGTTGAATTAAAACAAAAGGTTTCTCTTTTGTCACAAACCCATTTTATTCTCTTTCTGTTCTTCTGGATCTGGCTAAATCTAAACGTATTCTCTCTCTTTTAACGCTCTGTGACAGATCTCATTTACTTTCGACACAAGCCGCTCATCGACTGTCACCGAGCATTTAATGAAGAGCAAAGACGGTAATTTGCTATTCATTATTAACAAATCACTGCGCTGTGAAAAGAGCCTTTTGTTTGGCCTTGAAAACAATTACAGTCAGCCTGCATTTCATTGCATATTTCATGGCGACGCTTCGTTGATAGTGAAATTGAAAAGCAGATTTCGTTTTCACGGTCAGTGAAAGGATTGAAGATCTTCTAAATCAGGCCGAAGCCAACTTCCCGGGTCACTCACCATCTCATCGCTCTTCAGCATTGTCTATTCATGTGATAGTTAATATTGTTGAATGGATGATTATGCTTCCCTCCTCTGGTAATAACCCAAAACATTTCCTAATTAAGGAGAATCTTCATCCAGAAATAGAAATGACACGTATTTCTGTTATGTAACGATGTGAGAGCGTACTATAATTAAAATTCAACCTTCTTTTCTACTCCTTTTTATATCACTTGGGGAATAGTTTAATACCTTGGGAAATATGCTAATTCATTTTCTCCAATTTCTATATGATAGATATGAAGTTACAGCCAGCAGGCATTTAGCTTAGCTTAGCATAAGATTGGAAATGGTCGAAACAGCTAGCCTGGCTCTGTCCAAAGGTAACAAAATCCACTTATGAGTGATCTCAAAGCTCACTAATTAACATGTTACATCAGACAAAGTGTAGAAAATGGCTATTATCCATTTTACAGGTGATAAAGTGCGGTACTATTTATTGGCAGTAACTTCCTGGGATCTCCACACAATCAGCAGAAACCTGCAGAGGCCAAAAAAAGGCAATTACCCTAAAAGTCTATTTTTTAAAGCTTTTTTTTACTAATAACTGTTAAAAATGTAGCTTTAATTCAGCAGCTTTTGTGTCTTTTTTGGGTGGAAGGTTACAAACTATTGCATGAACTCCAAGCATTGTGTGTAAAATGTGCTTTTAGGATTGTATTTTCATATGAAACTGTTTACAACCACATCTTAGCCAATCAGAGGCCAATTATTTAGCTCTAAAAAACAATTATTTATTACACTTTTCATGGAGACACATATGCATCATACTGTACGTTTGAACATGCACACAAGAAGCAGTCATAAAAACATGAAGCAGGGCAGGAAAAGTCAAATGATTCAAGCAGCATACTGTACGGTACCGACTTCAAAGCATTGAATGATGTTATCCTTCTGTTCAATTAAACTTTTAGTGTCAATATAGAATTATATAGACATGTGGTATTAAAATGACGATTGTGCTACTAAATATTTACGAATACATCAAATGTAATTAGCATTGGGCAAAGCTGATTTAAAACGCAGCAGAGTGAGACACATCTTAGGGGGATTACAGCAATCTAATCTGTTATAGTTGATGTATATACCTCCTTCTCCATCATGATTTAAGTATGAAGAGACGGCTCTGTGATAAACATTGTGTAGTGGGAGCTGGTTTCATGTTTTATAACATCCAGCACTCTGCTTCATTATCTAAGTGGTAGCAGCAGAGCAGTGTCACAGATTTATGCTTTTCAGAAACCATCATGACTAAAACACTGTACTGTCTTCACCTTCAGCGTGATGAAACTATAATACCTGCCTGTGGTTATATTCATCGTCCACATGATGAACACGATTGGCAAGTCTGGCTTTATTACATTTTCAAAAGTGTGATTCAGATGGGGAAATGATGTGATGATGAAGTGAGAAAAGGCCAGAATACAGGAGGATAGTGTTATTGTAAGTGGATTTAGGATACCCTAAGGAACTAAATCCTTATCACAGCAGCAGTCTGGAGGAGGTACAATCTGGGGAATTGGGTTTCCGGACACTCTCAGGGACTACTTTATCCCCGGGGTCAAAATGTAGTTTTTTTTAACCTTGTTTTCTAGCAGTGGACATGCAGACTCACACCTGAGCTGCAGAGCACAACCATAGAGTTACACTGTTGGGGACTGACCTCGTAATAAGGGGGTAGCATAGCTGAGTTGTGTGTGTGGTGAAGTGTTGGATCTTAAAGAAACCACCAAGGCTGGAACAAAATGTAGCTACCAGATCCGTATTTGACCCTATCTTTTTGTGGTCTTTGACTTGAGTTTTTTTCAATATACATTGACAGCTTCTATTTGACCTATATGTCTATACCACACAGTAGAAGCTGACTGGATTTCTAATGTGCAAATGTTTAAATAGGATTTGACTTTTCTTCGATTAAATAACCACACTCTTGCTTGCTGTGGAGTAATGTTAAGCCATATTTAACATGTAAAGCCAAGCAGCTACAGTTCATTGTTGTCCATCTTCTCCCCAATTTGCACTTTAACACTTGACTATTCAACATCATAAATAGCGTAGCATCAGCTCTGCTACAACAATGCATGTTCATGCAGCGCTGCTCCCCTATCTCAACAGATCCAGCAGAGAAGGCATAAAGAGACGAGGCTTCTTGTATGAATTTAATTAGACGAGCTGACTTGCCTTTTCTTTGCATTCTGCGTCTCTCATTACCACTGACGTCCTTTCTTGGTCTGATGTAAGAAAACTTGCCAGAACCCACAGTCAGTGTGTTGGGCCTTATGCTGGAATTTAAGGGAGATCTAGTCCAAGCTGTAAGCAGAGTATCGTGGATGATAGCGGATAAGGTTTGAATTTTCTTGAATATAAGCAACTTGCTGATGGTGCATTTGTTCCTCATTGCTATTCAGCTTTTCAGCTTCTTCCCCTGGAATCTGAGATGGAAAAAGGCTAAACTGATGACTTAATTATACACCCTGTAATCTGAGAACTGAGGAAAAACTCACTGGATTTCAGTAAGTAGACACATAGCTTATTGACTAAAAATAGGCTGAGCTGTAGCTTAAAAATGTTATAAAACATCTGCAATATGCACTTTGTGCTTGAACACGACAGTCATAAAAATGTGTACTTCATGACAATAGTAAGAAAGCTTTTTCACTTCAAAAGGCCTTTAAATCCTTATTTGACACATAACTTCAACAGTGTGCTTTTAAAACTGGCTTAACAAATAGGGGACACCCATGACCAAACAATTGATCTGCTTTCTAAAAAATCCGATTCACTTGTTCAGTTAGAATAATATAAAAAATACCTTGATGTGTGCTTCCCTCTAGTGGTCATACAATGCCACTGAGGTGTTGTTCTGTCTGCTGGTACACTTCTATTTACAGTCAATTTGGCAGACTCTAGTGTTACACAACCCAGACAGACAGAAGAGAGATTAATCGTTTCCTAAACCACACGTTGTGTTGGCAGGATGTTATGTCTCATGTTATTTATGGAAAATAGGACTTCAAATAAGAGATATTCTGTACAACTCTTCCACTAACATTTAACCATTTAAGGAAAACTGTTGAATGCAACTACGTACTTTGTTCTCTAAGGCAGGAACATGATCATAAATCAAGCCAATTAAATATGAAACCAAACTGCAGTTGTGAAAACAGTTTTTTTTTAGGTTGTCTTTGTAAGGTGTCTGGCTGCTATACTGACCCTGATACTGGATGTAAGTCTTCTGCTCGTGTTCGACAGGAGCCCACTTGAATTTGTCTGCATAGTACGGTGGCCTATTATATTTCCCGGGGTGTACACATTGCCGAGGCTTACATTGATGTAAGTAGGTCATGAGCATACTGTTCTGTACCTGACATTGCTTTATTTATAGATTTGAGATGTTTATATGCAGGGAAGGTCTAACATGTTTCAAGGGCCTGGGAATAATTATATTTAAAATCCGAAACAGCAATTATTCACCTTTTGTTTGTCGAGACACTTTTCGCAATGTTTTTTAAGACACTGACTGAAAGCAAGAAGTGAAATAATCTAAATATAAAATAACATTGAGGAAGATCTAGTAAGTAATAGTTCATTTAGTGGCGATTCCTTATGTTCCCTGTCATATTACATTTTATATTTAAATTGCATTTCAATGTGATGCCAATTTAAAAAATACTACCTGATGTAACAGTCATCTATTCAATATGTTTCTACCTGTGCTAATGTGTTGTCATTTTGCTCATGGGTTTGTCTTTCTGTGCTCTTGTATGTTTTCTTTTACCAGGGACTACAGATAAAAAAAATGAGACCCTAAATCTGGCAAATTCACAAGAAGGACTGAAGTGCTCATGTTAATTGATGTGCATTGTCCCTTCTTAAATACTAATACAAAAGCTCCCAAAAGTATTGCGTGTCATGTCAAAATATAACACCAACCATCAGAATACAAGAAAGCATGAATTAAAAAGATACATTTTATTTAAAACCTGCCGGGGACATGTTTTTACAAAAATACACAAATGTTACGTGGGTGCTTAGTGTCAACAATTGTTCATCTTTCTCCTGCTGCTTCCACCACTGGTGCACATGCTGCACCAACGTGGGACAACCGTTAAATTGCTCAGATATAATATTACCAAGTAAAGATAACAAATCCAACAAGCAATGTCATTTGCAATATGGAAGAATGAAGGATCCAAGATTCTTGAGGCAGAAATGACAGAACCATTCTCATAAATATCAGGAAGAATGCTGAACATGGGATGCTATTGAAGCACTGAGTCGGATCTGTCTCTGAATTCTCTTCATTCTTTACTTGGACTTGGTTTCTTCTTTCCCTCCTCCTCCGGCCCCCTTTTTCTCTGCTTTCTGCTTCTCTTGCATTATTTCCGCATCCCTTGGGGAGAGAGGGACATTTAAAAAGAGAGATGTTATAAGGCAAACTAAATGGTAACACACACACCTAGCTATTGGTTATCTGGCAAGGATTATACAGCAACAAATAAAACGGATGGTTTTTTTAATACAAAAAAATGCTGTGCGGTTATTTTTTGCAGCACTGTATCTGTATTCTTCCGTATGGGAATGTTTAAAGAAATTAAATTATCTGACAAAAAAAAGACATAACTGCATGATCAGTGAACTAGTCAACAACATTCAAGGCATGATCAAACACATGTTGCGTGTGGTGCTGCAAAAATCTATATCTTGTGTTTGTGTTCATCCCATTTCTTTAACGCATGCAAACCTTACCTCTGCTTCCGGGCCGCGGCAGACAGCCCATCATCGGCCTTCTTCCCTTTGTCACCACCTTTTTTGGCATTCTTTGCACGTGCAAGCTCACGTTGGTTACCTCCTGCATGTCATGCAAAAGAAAGAAAGAAAACAATGTAATACAACAACAGGCACTATGATGAGCTACACATCAGGTATGTCAGCTACACCCTTTAAACACCTCTATTACTCAAGAACCCAAAAAGTAACAACTTGAAAAGCAGTGGTGTAAAGTCACAAGTACACTTACTTAAGTACAATTTTGAGCTACTAGTACTTTACTTGAGTATTTTAATTGTGTGTTTCTTTGTACTTCTAACCCACTACAATTCAGGGAGGTTAATAGTGTACTTTTACGCTACTACACTTAGTTTAAACCTTTAGTTACTTTTCAGATTTGGATTAATAATGTGAAATATAATCAACACTTAAATAAAACTCTAGTTACACCTGGAGTAAATCCAAATGCTACCCTGCAGTGTACACAATAATTCAAATTAGATCCCCGTTTAACAGCTGTGATAAACACAATAATGCATCACTAATTATAATAGAAACATATGATATATATTATAATAAAATAGGCCAATCTGCATAAATAGTACTTTTACTTTAAGTATATTTTGATGCCAACACTTACTTGTACACTTGTACTTTGAGTAACATTCATTTGCAATGCAGGACTTTTACTTGTAACAGAGTATTCCAAGACTCTGGTATTTTTTATATTACTTAAAGTACAATATATATATATATATATATAGGTACTTCTTCCACCTCTGTTGAAAGGGCTTTCTCTTAATGTCTACACTAGACTACATTTAAAGAGACAGACCGTCAGTAACAGAAAATGGTGCAAAACGTGCAGCCGACGTGGCAAGGAGGCGCTCTGGAGTTGCTTCAGAACAACAGAGGACATCATATGTCATATGTCATATGTCATGTGTGTCCAATCGGTTATTTAAAGATGGTAAATAAAGGCACAGACGTGTTAAAAGGACACTAAAATTATGAAAATAGCTTCTACAAGCCGCGAAAAAAACAGCTGCAAGTGTTATGTTTCTGCTGATGTTGCAGGCCTAGGCTCCGACGCAAGAGCCTGACAATACACCACCTATCGATGTTGACAAATGCAAAACGCACATAATTAAAATAAACACCTACTTGACACACTGCATAAACCCGTGCACTCTATTTAACCCCTTAACAGCCAGCCCATGCGTAAATAACAACCCATACTGGCGTGAATTACGAGAAATAACTTTACGTAATTTGCAGCAAATAGACGGAGCCCAGGACAACGGCGGCCATGGCTAACGAGCGGAAAAGATAACAACAGACTACATTCAACCCAGTTAAGTGCACGAATGCCTTACAGTCCGAATATATTTCGATACCCACTGGTCATTTTGGTAATCCTCGCTTTTGTCGCCCAAAATCCAAGTTTTTCTTCTCGTGGCTCCAGCCGCTTTTCTGCTTTCGTTGCACCTCGGAGGCTGCCACGTTCTCGCGAGATGTTCGTGCGAGAACTATAACATTCCGTCTCTCTCACACAGACTGCACTGCGCATGCGCTAGTCATTCATCAATGCAGCCCACTATCAAAGAGTTACATATTTAAAGCCTTTGTTTACACAGAGCAGGTGGTAGAAGTACTCAGATATTGTACTTAAGTAAAAGTAGAAGTACCAGAGTCTAGGAATACAAGTAAAAGTTCTGCATAGCAAATGTTACTCAAGTAAAAGGACAAAAGTATAGGCATCAAAACAACACTGTACTTAAAGTACCGAAAGTCCTCGTTATGCTGATAGGCCCATTTCAGAATAATATATCATGTTTTGATTATTATTATTCATACATTAATGTGTTATCACAGCTTGAAAAGGTGGAGCTTTGAAGTCCTTTGTGGTGTTACTAAAGTGTTATTTAAGTGTTGATTATGTCACATTAATCCAAATCTGCAAAGTAACTAAATGTATTAAATAAATGTAGTGGAGTAAAAGTACACTATTTAGGCTACCTCTGAATTTTAGTGGGGTAGAAGTACCAAGTAGCACACAAATAAAATACTTAAGTAAAGAACAAGTACCTTAAAATTGTACTTTAGTATGATACTTAGTTACTTTCCACCACTGCCTTTACATATATTATACTGAACTTATAAGTAAGAGCAGGAATTCGACATTAGTTGTACAACCTTTCAAATGGGAAGGCATGCATCCAAAATGTATTTATTTAGGCCTTTCCTAATATTTTCACAAGGGGTTTAATAAACATAAGTTAATTGTTATTAAACTTATAAATACAAACTTCCTTACTGTGTGGTTACTTCTACTTTAGAGAAAATACTTTAGCCAAGTAGCTACTGCATTAACCTGACATATAGATTTCAGTGGTGAAGATGCAGATTCAGAATGTACTCACAAAATGTCATAATTTCGATGTATGTGTTGTAACTTGGCTAACGAGGTGCTTAACTGTTATTATTTAAATTGTTTACCCAAACAGAAAAAACACTTTGGCATACTTTTAAACTAAACCCTTATACAGTATAGGGACAACTTTGTTTTCTTTCAGCTGTAGCATGCAATGTGAAGAATGAACTTTAAAACTCAGCTAATTTCTCGACGAAAGTACTCATCAGTGGATTGGAAGTGTTATTAGGCCTGTACAGTCTGAGGCTTTGATTGAAGGACATGAAGCCTAGTATTGTCCGTCTATCCGGGCCAATGCCAGGATGGAAACACAGAGAGTTTTGTCCTTGGATGTCTTAAATCGTTTCCTCTGTTAATGGCATAGGCTACAATAGGCAACGTTTTACTATAAAAGCTCAGTTGCAATATGAGACATTAACTTCAAATACATCCACAGCTATCTCTTACGAAAAGCTTACTACAAATTAGCCAGCAGGTGGCAGACTCAGCTAATGTGCATTTTGAAATAAAAGCAGTCAGACTACTCTTTACTATACCAATTATCGAAACAGAGGCTACTAAACCTTTACAAATGTTACAATCAAATGCTTAAATAGACATGGAACATGTAAAATACTTAGGTTTATGATACGCAACCCACTGTTGTTTTATTAAATTAGACTAATCTCACACTCGATTGTGTAACTGTAAATACAAACTGCTTGCAGTCATTAATTGGACATCATAGTGTTGTATAACAGTCTGAGCCATCTCCATAATAAGATTCCTCTGATAGTATTGAATTATGGCCTAGCCCCTGGGTTAGAGTGCAACATGGAATTTTCCTAATTGTTTAATTTATTTACTGCAATAAGAAAACCACATGCTGTTTTCCTTGCAGTTTTGGTTGGGTGATTTTATGAACTGTCTGGCAATTAAATAAATGCTTGAGTCATGTCTGCTCAAAACTAAACTCCTACCCAGACACTGAGACTTTAAATAGAAGGCCATCCATGCACATCATGACGCAACGCTATACTCTCTGTTTCTAAAACTTATTGTATACATACAATCTATTTATTATTTCAACTGTATTTTTGTTATTCTTAATTTCTGTTCTGTTCCTTTTACATTGCTTTGCCTATTGCTTTATTTCCTCTTAATGTTTTTTATGCACAAAAGGCAGAGTCATTGTAAGTGAAAACCTGCACGGCAATAAATGTTTTTTAGAAGAAAACGTAGCTGAACCTGCATCATGCCACAATCAAACAACTGCATAAGGAGAGTTTTCCAAGTCTACACTTATGGAAACACCTCTGTTGTGCAGCTATATAACATTTGTTTACATCCAAAGATATATTTCAAAAGAATCAGCCAAACATTATTTTGGGAATAATTGGAAACATAAATTCATTGTTGCGATATGATAATAACTATCCTATACAGTCTTCACATTGCATCTGCATTTAAATATGCACATTTTGGTTGAAATGAGCTGAAGGAGGAGAAGGAAGACAGGGCCTGGTTTCTTTCTGAAATAGGAATACTGTATTTTTAGGACATAATTACTGTTTGAATACAATAAGCCATCAAACTACAGCTGGGATTGTCTAGCCAGCTGTCTATTTAGGTGAAGAGCCAGGTCTTCTTTGAATTTAATTATGTGCTGTAAGTTTGCTCTGCTCTGCAGCCTTCAGGTTTTTATTTCTTGATGGATGGATGGCCAAACACAGACTATAGCTGAGAGCCCTAAAGCTTACTGACATTACTCAGGTCAAGCATAATGAGCAATCAATTTGAAATGTCCTTTTGTCAGTGGTCACACGTCACTGTCAGGAATACACTAAACACATTACCAGTAAAGGACAATGTTTATTGCTGTGCTGATTTATGGGCTTATATATATATACAGTATATATATGTGTTTGCACACATTTGACCTGGCAAAAAGCATGAAGCTCAGACTGCTGTAGTAAGTTAAAATGTATTGCATACTCGAGTCCACAGGGTATTTGTATGTGTTAATTTGAGGACATACTTAATAGGCATCATCATTACCCTGAATTATTTATAAGGACCAAACCCAATCAACACTCAAACTCATATATGGGCTATTCTAAAGGGCAATTAAAAACAACATATTTTGTAGTTTAATTGGAGGAATTATTAAATATTTAACTCAATTATTAAAAATCCAAAGCAATGCTAGCATCTTTGTGACGCTGTACGAAGCTCAATGCTAAAATAGTGTCTAAAAGCACTATCTGCTATGATTAAAAAAATATTTTGACCATTTGTAGGAGTGCTATTCACATCACCGATATCTGTCCAAAAACACTGACAGCTGTAGTATAGTCCCTTCCCGATTGCTGATTAGACTGAATTGAATATTAAGATGTCTATAACATCCCATCATACACAGATAAAGTTGCACATTACTTGGAGAAACAAACCATACAATTGGTATGTAAGAATATAAGATGTCACTGTCAATATTATAATATGTGTATTTTATTATATTCTTACTTACCGTTTCATATGGTTTGTTTTGTATTGTGCATCTATATCTGTGTAAATACAGTGATCTTATAGACATCTTAATATTCCATTTCAATTTGCAGTCCCTCATAAGTCCTGATTCCCTCTAACTGTTTGCACATGAAGTTAAATCATCTTCCACCAGATTTTTAAAATGTTTCCAGAGAGGAAATATGTTGTTTTGTATCCTGGGACATCCATCACAAATGGACCCATGAAAATTGTGTTATTTTGAGTCCTCCCAAAGTGAGAACTTGTAAACAGAATAAGGAACACCACAGTAAATCGAATGGATACAGAGCAATGGCTTTTTCATGCCACTTGCGTGCTGGAGCATGGAGACGTTAACAGGGTGTAGAACAGCGTGTTGAACACTGTGGTCAGTTTATTGGGCTGCTGGCGACACACGGGACGGCCCAGGATGTCTGCCTTCCACTTGTTTTCCCCACAGCTGCTTTCAGTGACAGCTTCCTGCTTAAAGCAAACTATTTCTGTCTTCAAGTGCAATTATCACCACCTGGTAATTTTGACAATGTTGACTGTTTCTGCTTCGACAAAGCCTCTGAATGTTAATGCTGCCCTTGTGTAACTGCTGCTGCAGCTGCGCCTCAGTTACCAGTCATGTCTGCAATTTAATCAAATGGAGATGATGGGGAGAAAAACTTTTTCCATTAAATTCCATCTAATTGAACAGTAGGAGTCCAGACAGGCTTTCAGTTTGGGCCTTAAATGTGTGTACATGTTTCACTATTAAGTAAGGAGTTATAAGAATAAGAATATTAAAGTATCAGAAGTACTATATGAGCTTTGCTTCTTTTAGGGGTAATTGTGTTTGGACTGCCACTTTATTCACTCCCACAAAACAGATGATTCATGGAGGATGATGTGACGAAAGGACAACCATGATTAATTTCTCATCCAACATTTCATTGCACCGTCTTCATGCATTGGCAACACAGTTTCGAGAGATCTTTGCTAACGTGGATTATGAAGTGGTGGAGGCACTGATGTGTGGCAGCATAAACTTAGTGTGACAAGCTGGACGTATTGTGCATTCCTCTCTGTCTCATTTCACCGCTGTCATCCATCACGCTGCCAGAGTCCTGCCTGCTGTCATGAATGATTGATGGGACTTGCTGATCCCGTCTTCTGCATCGCCTTAATGTCCCTCGTGTCCTGATTGTTGGAGCTAATTTTGACATGTGCCTGTAAAATCATTATGTTGTCCATGCGTGTGTTGCAATGCAAACTACTGTACATGTAGTATTCTTCTCTGAAAACGTCTATTTTCTCACTGGAACTCAACTGAAATGTACCTCTTTAAACAAAGCGACTGCATATTCTAACCAAGCTTATGTGTTAATGGTTTTACATGTGAGGGGCCGGGTTACATGTTAAGTCTTTGGCTATGCTCAGATGTGCATCGCCAAATCTGTGAAGTGATTTTGGTAGAACTTTACTCTATGACAGGGAGGTTATTTTATATTTTAGTTTGATCATTTTTCGGTGTTGCACCTTGTAGCCTACAGTAGATGGTCCCTGCAGATAGAAGCTGTGCAGCTCGAAGGACGGCGTGGATCGGGTTA